ACTTTATTGTTAGACAAAATATCTTCACGAAATTTAAAATGAATTATTATTAGTGGCAATTCGACAATATCAGACGAAATTTTTCAGATCAAACAACAGTAGCATATATGTACATACATATGTAGCTACCGTACAAACTAAACGGTCCAAATCAACTTCTTGTATGGGAAACTTATTTATTTTTGAAAGGTATTCTAGCGGTGCAACCGAAGTTAACGTTTTTAATTGTGAGGCATGTACGAGTATTACAACTATTAAGCACACACATTTATAAACTTTAATGGAACGTTTAATTGCCCGAGTGCGCTGTGTGACATCAACTTATTTGCCGTAGCCAAGGATATACTGTTATGTTTTGTTATGTTTATGCGAAAGAGAAAACCTCTAAGGTGTGCCAGTTTGTAGCAGGAAATCTTTTATTTAAACTAGCGACGGTGCTATAAAGCAAAAAATCGGCATGCATCTTACAAATTAGTTTTTTTTTTTTTTTTTTTTTTTTTTTTTTTTTTTTTTTTTTTTTTTTTTTTTTTTTTTTGTAAAACCTGTCTCTTATACACATCTAGATGTGTATAAGACTAAAGTAGGCAACACTTTATTAACTTTTTAAAGTAATCAGTAAAATGTTCTAAAAATATATTTAGGATTTCAAAAGTAATAAATAATTTAATAACAGTTTTAGAAATTTATGGTTATAATAATATAATTGAAAAATTAATTAAAAATGTTTTAAATAGAGAACAGTTAATTTATATATTTACCTTTTTCTATAATTGAAAAGTTGTAGCTAATTAAAAATAATTAGTAAAAATTTTAGTTTTTGTTGTATTTGTAATTATAGTTACTTTTTACGTGATTTCTAACGTTTTTGAATCACTTTTCTGATAAGAAATACCAACTCATAAGAAAATATAATAATATTTGCAACCACAACTGATAAGGGATTATAAAACACAATCTTATCAAAATACTATAGTAATAAGCAAATGTCACCAAATCATTGTACTTGTGACAAAATTATTAATTGCTTCATAAATAAAAATTGCATCAATCACTGTACTGAGTGATATGACTTGATGTGTGGTAATGTGAAATATGCTAATTATTCGATGAGTTTGCTGACATTTGTCATAACTAATAATTTTTCCAGAATATGTATGTATACATGATACCTTAGACAGAAAAAAGTACAAAATGTTTTTAATGTCTATTAAGTTTTTCCTTGCTTAATTGAAAGTGTTCCTAATACAAATTTTTCATTTCATTTCGACTGTATTGTTATTGGGTACGAAAAATGTTTCCGAAATTCTTCAAAAGTCTAAGCTTGAAAACGCAAAATCATTATCATATCATATATGATGTAGTTCCTCTCTTATCACTGAACATATGTATATATGTAAGTTTCCATAAAATATTATGAGTCATTGGTAAGCCCTATATTAAACATATTAGGCACAAATAGTAGACAAGTTTATTAATAAATTTGTACATGTGTATGAATATTAAATAAGTATATGCAATACCTGAATTATGGTAGACTCATTGTTTGTATAGGAGTTCATGGAATTATAAACATTAAAAATACTAAAAACTAAAATAAAAAATTTTAACATACAAAAATTAGAAATGATTAAAAT